CCATGGGGCCCTCCCCTGCCGGGCACTGTGCTCCCTCCCATTACCTCTCTGCCCTGGCTCCTACCCTTCACAGCCCGGCACTTACCTGCAGGGCACTGGGGAAGCCAAGGCACGTAAGACCCCAGGGCCCCTGTCTTCTAGGGGGCCTCCATCTAAGGGGAGAGGCAGGTGATGCCCAAGTAAGTTCACAGGTGATCAGAGCTGCAGACAGCAGAGCATCACATGAAGGAAGATAACAAGATGCAGTCGGGGAGACACGGGGCGGGGAGGGATGAAACAGGCGAGTCCCTGAAGAGGTGACATTTCAGCTGACATCTGAAGGACGAGAGGGAGCAGTCCAGTGAAAAATGAGGGGAAGATCATTCCAGGCAGAGGGGACAGCCATCGTCCCCTGTCACTGAGAGGCTTCTCCAGGTTCTGCTTACCCTGCCCCGTAGGCGTGCAGCCTCTGTGGGGGCGGCAGATGGGGACCAAATATGTCCCTGAGTCCAGTGTGGGTGGGAGGCAGTGGGGCTCCGGCACCAGGGGCTGTGGGCCCTCTTTCCTTTGGGCCTTTTGGGGGACTCCTGCCCAGCCTGGCGGGGGCTACATTTGGGCAGGAGCAGCAGCAGCAGCAGAAAAGGAACCCAGGCAAAGAGGCCAGCCCAGCGAAGGCCTGGGCATGGGACGTGCACAGGGACAGCAGCAGCACCCAGGCACCCTTGAGCCTGCAGAGCCAGGACTGCCTGTGCGACGCTCTGAGCCCTGGAAGACTCAGGACTCCAGGGTTTCTCTTCTCTAGGCTAAATGTGCCTGTTTCTTCTACCAAACTCAGTTTCCCCAAACCATCCCCCTGTGCTGCCGACTGTAGGAGCCCCTCTGGGCATGTTAACGACTTTGGATCCCATGGCTTGGCCTGGCCTGGTCCGGGCTCCTCCTCTGGGGTGTGGCTTGTCTGAGTCACTTTATCTGTCTGCTCCTGGGGTTCCTTGATGCTGAAATGGGGACAGTGATGGGGATGGTGAGCAGCCTCCTCCTTGCTTGTGGGTAGTGGAGCTTTGTCACTGTGAAGGGCTGTGCACACAGCCCGCCCCCAGATGCAGCGGTGGGGGCAGTGCGGGCAGCCCCCTGTGCTCCAGGGGCTGTAGATGAGCTGGGCGGCTGTGACCTGTTTGTTCCGCTGCAGGGCAGGCTCTGCGGGACTCCCTGGATGCCATTCTGCTTCCTCTTTCCCGTCCTCTCCCCAGCGTGTTGATGGACTCTGAGGAATCCTCTCCGATCTCCCCCAGAGACTCTAAAACGAGGGACAGCCCTCAGAAGCCTCCTGCTGTGCTGTCCTTTGCCTCAGACATGAGCAAAAACAGCCCCAGCTGCCATCCAGAAGGGTCCCCCAGTGCAGGGAATGCCAGGAGCTAAACCCCTGTGGCTATGCATGGAAAAGACAGGGTCCTGTCGCAGATGCCTGCCAGGGTCCAGTCTCTCCCATTTACCATGGGTCAGCCACCTGGGGGGGCCAGCGACTTCTCTTCGTCGGGGAGGCTGTGCACAGAGGCGACAGGAGTCAGGGCAGCGCCATCCTCCTGTCTCGGCAGGAGGTGGGAGCACTGACAACTCATTATCCAGGCCTGGGCCAGTAATAATGGATGGAGCAAGGGGCTGGGTGAGCTCCGTGCCACTGAGACTTAGCAGGCCAGCTTCGAGCATGCAGGAGCTCCAGTGGGAGAATCTCCAGGGGAGAGTGGCAAAGAGCCCGTCCCCAGCCTGGAGGGACCGAGAGGAGCAAAGGCCCTTAGACCCAAGAGACAACCCAGTGCAGGTAGGCAGGCCCCGAAGGCCGGGGTTGGCATCAGGGAATCACTAGGCCGCCCACTCAGGACAGAGCAGGAGCCTGCTGCCGGCCAGAGCTCCCTGCAACAAGACTCAGCTTGAGGGACAGGCCTGCCAGCACCAGGGTGGGGTCTGGGTCCCTGCATGGCCTGGGCTTCAGGATCAGCCCACTGTGGGGAAACTGAGGAGACATCCAAGATTGTCGGGGTGGAACATCAGCCTGGCCGCTGGGGTCCGTCAATGCTTATGTGGCCCCTAGCCCGTGGGCCTGGCAGACCCCACTGACCTTGGGGCTGCTCCCTATGTCCTGCCAGGCCTGAGCAGGGCTGGGGCTTCCAGGGCTTTCACCCGCCACGTGCCGTGAGGGGCCCTGTCTTCTCTTCTCATCTGCATTTTGACCTTGGGCTATGAGGCATTTCTACAGGTGCCAGGCCTAGAGGGATGGCCTAGAACATAACATCCAAGCCACCCCCCAGAATAATAGTGATCGAAATAATAACAGTAATTATGCTTGAGGTGAAATTAACACTTCTAATGCATCTTTAGAAAATGTTGTTTTTGACAGACCTGTAACATACAATTTAGTTAAAAACTGTGCTTGCTGAGCAGAAGCAGCTACAAGATGTGCCCCAGCCAGCTCTCACCTGCCGCCAGCCCCTCCTTGCCCGCCCCGCCCACAGGGCCTGTGGGGAGGGTCACTGCCTGGCTGGGGGGCGGGGCTCACACTGATGCCTTCAGGGGCCAGGAGGACAGCAGGGTGGCAGGCCCAGCGCCTGGGCGTCCAAGCCTCATGGTCCTGTGTCCAGGGGCAGCCGTCACTCCACAGCCCAGTGTGACTCCCCATCCCCCCACTGACCACATCTCCTAATTCCTCAGAGAAGCTGGCAATTCTAGATTTTGTTCAATGTGAAATCTCCCAATTTTGAAATACCAAATAAGGTATTTTTTAAACACCACGTGGCTCTAACAGGCGCCTCTGTAGTCTGGTTTTGCCCAGGGACCACCCATCAGTGACCCCTGGATTGACAGGGGCAGAGGGTAATGTCCAGTCTCTTCCCTAGGGAAGAATTTTTTTAATGGAAATTACCAGCTTTCTGCTTCCCAAGGTGTTCTGAAGGTGAGCTGTCCCTGCTTGTTGGAAATGCAAAGAAATAAATGCGTAAAAATAGAGTAGCAATTCCTCAACCCCTGTGTCAGGTTGAAGTAGCCGGCATCTCCTCTGGGAGCAGCAAGGATGGCCCTGAATCATCTCCAGGCAGCCCAGCTGAGCCATCAGCTCTGCACGGGCACTGTCTGCCTGCCTGTGTGCCTGGCCCCCAAGTGGCCCTGGGCGACACCTGCCATGTGCATGTGTGCCTGTGTGCGTGAGCGTGAGCGTGTGTCCGGGGTGGAGGGGAACGGGAGACTGCTGGGGCAGGGGCACAAGGGCGCCAGGAGGTACAGGAATGCAAGCAGCCACTCAGCCCTGGCCCCACTTACTCCTTTCTTTCAAAGCCGGCGCATCCCACCCCCCCACCCCCCCACCGTCCTGCCCTTCTCCTTCCCCTCCCTCCCTCCAGTTTTCCTTTCTGGTCTCAGGTCACAGGTTTGTGCCTCAAACCTAATAGACATCAGGTTTAAAGGAGAGAGCTCCCAGCTGAGTCCATCAGTCTTCCTGTCTGTAAAACGGGGACAGTAATGCACACCAAAGAGGCCCCTTGTCAGCACTGGATGAGGAAACACATGTGCAGGGCTGAGTGGCAGAGCAGGACCTGGACCGCGGCAGGCTGCCCCGCCTGTCCTGAGCTACCATGCTGCTTTCCGAAGCCCTCTTCTGCCTCCAGGGTCTGTCATATGCCACTGTGACGTGGCACCAGTTCCTGTCCCTGTCCAGAGGAGGCAACAGACAAGAGGTTTTGGGAACAAGTGAAAAGAATTACTCTGGAAGACTCTGTAGAGAGGTGGTCCTGCAGGCTTCCATCGGCTGCAGGGGCCACAGGGCCTGGACGCCACCCCTTGGGTCTGTGATGTCATGATGACCTGAGGTCCAAGGTCATTCCCAGGCCAGGAGTCTCAGACACCCTCCGAACCCCCAGGGAATGTCAAGGAGAAGCAGGACCCTGGGGTCAAGGATATGGCATGGACACAGAGACCAGTGCAGGGATGCGGGGGCTTCCAGAAGGCCTGAGTGCTGGGGCTGAGGGAGCAAAGTGGTCTGGGGGTACCAGTGGTGCTGAGGTCAGCCTGTTCAGCTCAGTTGTGACTCTGAGATGTGGGGGCAGGGGCTTTGGTCCAGGGTGGGCTCTAGGCCCAGTGGGAAAGTAGAAGGGAACTGAGGCAGAAGCTGCAGCTGCACGGATGGCAAGACGACATCCCGATGGAGCTCCAGGCCCCGGACCTCTCAGGTGAGGCCTCACAGGCCCCATGCCCCAGATGGGCTGCCTGCCCTGGGCCAGGTGTCCAGCTTGTGGGGGTCGGAGTGAGCCCCTGCCCAGGCAGACTGTGGGGGAGCTGTCATGAGAGGGGATCATACTGGCCCCTGCAGGATTCAGTCAGGCAACCTCCCATCTCCTGGCACACAGGACCAGGGGCTGGCACAGTCCACCTGGGCGGGGCCATAGGAGGTCCCTGCCCAGGAGAGGGGCGGGCAGACCCGGCCTGGAGATGAGGGACCTTGCTTCAGTGGAGGACTGAGCAGAAAGTTCTAGGAGAGCTGCCCAAGGAGACACTATGGGACACACACCATCTGGGCTGGGCCTCAGTTTCCCTAGTTATAACTGGAGGTGGCAACATCTGGGAGACCAGCCCTTTGGCACCTGGGCAGACCCCTCGGGCACCTGCGAGTGTGTGAATGGGTGAAAAGAGCTGGCTCTGCCCATGCCCGCTCCTTGCTGGGCGGCCCAGCTTCCTGGCCTCTCGATCATCACTGGGTGTCAGACCTGGCCTCTGCAACGGCTGAGGTGTTGGTTTCATGCTGCCAGGTCTGAGGTGACTTGGCAGGGTCAAGTGGACTCACTGCCTCCCCGGAACCTCAGTTTGTTCTGTAAAATGAGGACAAGAATGCCTTCAGTTCGGGTGCTGTGACTTTTCAAAGAGATGATGGCCAAGCTGGTGCCTGGCAGGTGCCCACTGGTGTCCAAGTGGGGTTTTGACCTGCTGCAGTATCCCTGTTGAGCCCGGGCTGCTGCTGCAGATGGTGTCCTCTGTCCTTCCAGGGGCCTCCTCGGACAGCCTGGACAGCCTCAGCCGTGCCCTGGGCGTCCTGGAGGATCGGGTCAATAGCTCCAGGCGCAGGGCACGCAGGCACGCTGCCGATGACGACTACAACATCGAGGTCCTGCTGGGCGTGGACGACTCTGTGGTCCAGTTCCACGGGAAGGAGCACGTGCAGAAGTACCTGCTCACGCTCATGAACATCGTAAGTGGGGGGCGGGGCCTGGCGGTGGGAGCGGGGCAGCGGGGTGTGGGGGCAGGGCCTGGCGGCAGGGTCCCCCGCAGTGGGGTGTGGGGTGGAGCCTGGTGACAGGGGTGGGGCAGTGGGGGTGGGGTGGAGCCTGGTGGCAGGGGTGGGGCAGTGGGGGTGTGGGGAGCCTGGCAGCAGGGGCCAGGTAGCCAGCGTGTCGGGGCGGGGCCTGGCGGCAGGGGCGGGGCAGCGGGGTGCGGGTGGCTGGAAGCCGGGGCAGCAGGGGTCACTTTCTGCCGTTTCTTGGAGGAACTGGGGGTGAGCGACGTGGTCACAGGGAGGTTTTCTGGGTCCACAGGTGAGAAAAGGTGACTGCCCCATCAACCTCGCTGAACCTCTTTTCTCCTCTGCAAATGGGGGTGATTCTGACTCGGCAAGGCTGTTTACACACTAAGGCAGTTTTTCACAAACTCAAGTCATTCGTAGACCAGTTTTCTTGATTTTTACCGTATCCTCGTTGTACCCAGACTATGCATTTCCTTATAAATCGACTAGCTGTTTTTTGAAACAAAATTATTTTCAGAGGAAACTTCTTTACCTAAAGTTCTTTACCGAAAGGTAACCTAAAAAGTAAAATGTGAAGCGATCGTTATTCCGTCCCAGCTGGATCGTCCTGCCTTCTGCAGGCTCTGGACACAGCCCGTGCTGCTTACAAGGGAGTTTAGTGTGTGCTGGTGGGGACAGACAGACAGACTCCCATCTGAGGCTTCCTGAGGTAGTCAGAGAAATTGAAGATTGAAGAGGGAATCCGTTTCTCCCTGTGAGGCTGGGCTGTTTCACGGGGTGTCTATCGCCGGTTTATTTTAAAGCATACAGCGCAGGAACAGTCAAATGGAAGAGATGCACAGGATGGCAAGGTACAGAGGAGGTGCGCAGACTCCCCCGGCCTCCCTGGGCTCGCTGCCTTCCCAGCACCTTGCTGAGGTCCGCCGCCTTGGCAGCTCTCCAAACCCCGATGTGTGGGGTTTTGTGGAGGTTCTGCCACAGTCATGTGTCGCTTAGTGACCGGGACATGTTGTGAGAAAGGCATCCTCAGGCGATTTTGTCACTGTGTGAACGTCATAGAGTGTACTCACACAAACCTAGATGGTACCACCTGCTACGCCTAGGCTCTATGATGCTAATCTTATGGGACCACCGTCCTGTATGAGGGTTGTCGTAAGCAGCACATGACTATCCTTGGCCATGATTGATGGAATCATTGGCCATGGATGACTGGCCTCAATCTCCAGCCGCTCTCCCCACCCTCCAAGTCGGGGGGTGGGACCGAAAGCTCCAACCCTCTAATAACAGAGTTGGTTACTCTGGAGGCCCTGCCCTGAACTATATAGGGGCCCACCAAGAGTCACCCTATTAGCATGAACTCAGGCAGGTTGAAAGGGGCTCATTATGAATAACCAAAGACCTTCCTCTTACCCCATCACTCAGAAAATTATGAGGATTTTAGGAGTCTCTCAGGAACTGGGGCTATGGACCAGATATATATCTCTGACCATGTCATACCTGGGTTAACTCCTGGCCCCGCGATTACCAGGTGTGTCACTGGGAATGCTGCTCTAGTCTTCTGAGCCTTGGTTTTCTCATCTCTAAAATGGGCAATAATTTCCCTCTCAGGGGTTGTCTTGAGAATTAAATGAGATAATGGAGGTGAATGTGCCTCTCAGTCTCTAAATAAAATGTGGTTACTATGGTGATGGTGATGATATTTAATTTAGTGACAGCACATCTAGAATTATTTTTGAGAAGTATGCCAGGGACTCTGATTGAAGCTGGAGCATCCCTGGTGAGCTCTTCTGGAGGGTGGTGGAGCTAATCCGCCTTTTCCCTGCTGTAGAAGGTCCCTCTGTCACACACACCTCATGCTGTGTGAGCTGGTAGAGAGAGGTCTAGAACTTTCTCTTGGTTTTACCAGTCAACTTCAATTTATTCATTTACACCCTCATGGTCAGTTTTGGATAATGGGGTGGTTGAGTTTCTTGAAAATCGTGAGAAATATAAAAATTCTTAAATCGAAGCAAACTTTATCATCACAACGAAAGGATTTCAGGAGATAAATCGCAGGAGCTGAGAAAGAATAGTTGGGCGGTATCTCTTTTCCCTGCCGCATCCAGCAAGTGTTCATTGGATGCGTGGTTGTCCAGGCACAGCGGCTGGTCCTGCAGAGGCAGAGTGTGTGGCAGACGGTCCTGGGGCTCAGGGGGCCGCGGGTCAGGGAGGATCTGGACCTCTGCTCTGAGCCCCACTTCCCACCGCGAGGAGAGCGCCGCGTGGTCGAGGAGATGAGGACAGAGCCTGGAGCGTCCGGCGCCTGACAGGGAGTGCCCTCTAGGCTCTGTGTCCTCAGGCAGGGCAGTGCATGTCCGGGAGAGAGTCCCCGGGGCTGATCTAAGGCACGTGGCGCCCCGTGGTGGTCTCGTGGAGGAGGGGGACTGAGGAAGCACGGATATTTGATAGAGGGTCATCTTCTAGAGCAGTGCCGTCCAGTAGAACTTTCTGCAGTGCTGGAAATGCTCATTGTGCCCTGTCCAATGAGGCAGCCACTAGCCACCCTGGCCCCTGAGCACTTGAAATGTGGCTGATGTGATTGAAGAATGGAATTTTTAATGTATTTTTTTCAATAGAATTTTTTAATTTTAATTAAAAAAATTTTAATTGTAGTCAAATACGTATCACATAAAATTTACCATCTTAACCATTTTAAGTGTACCGTTTGGTGACATCAAGCACATACACACGCTTGTGCAACCATCACCACCGTCCATCTCCAGAACTCTTTTCATCTTGGAAAACTGAAACTCTGGACCCATTAAACACAAACTCCCCAGACCACCCTCCCCCAGCCCCTGGCACCCACCATTCTCCTTTCTGTCTCTATGAACTTGACTACTCTAGGGACCTCATGTAAGAGGAATCATACCGTATTTGTCCTTTTGTGACTGGCTTGTTTCACTTAATATAATGTCCTCAAGATTCATCTATGTTGTGACATGAGTCAGAATTTCCTTCTGTTTAGGCCTGAATAATATTCCATTGTGTGGGTAGACCACGTTTTGCCTGTCCTGTCATCTGTCCACGGCTGCTGGAGTTGCTTCCATCTTTTGGTTCCTGGTGAATACCGCTGCTCTGAACATGGATGGGCAAATCCTTCATGGCCCTGCTGTCAGTTCTGTTGGGAATGTGCCCAGAGGTGGAGGTGCAAGATCATATGGTGATTCTATTTTTAGTTTTCTGAGGAACCTCTCTACTGTTTTCCACAGCAGCCGCACCATTTTACATTCCCTTAAATGGTGCACAACCCTTCCAGTTTCTCCACATCCTCACCAGCACTTGTGATTTTTGATAGTAGCCATCCTAATGGGTAACTTAACTTATTTGTAATTAATTTACATTTGGATTTAAATCGCCAGTGTGGCTCGTGGCTGCCGTGTTTGACAGTGTGGTCCTGGAAGGTGTGTACACGGTGAGACCTCCTGCGTGCCCTTCCTCTGAATGTGCCCAGGCGCACAGTGCTGACCAGCGATGTGGGCGGCCCTGGGTGTGGGGGCCACGAGACCCTGGATGTGCTGGCTCACCTGGAGCTGCGGCTGGAGCCCTGAGTGGCCCTGGAAGGCCTGGCCAGGGCGCGCCTCCCTCTCCTTGTCAGTGCACAGCTGCTTTTGGGGTTTGTCAGCACTGGAGCCAAAGGAGCAATGTGGAGGACAGATGTGGCGGCAGCCGGCCCGGCACGCGCTCCAAGTGAGGCATTTGGTCAGCTGTGAGGATGGCCAGGGCCAGGGCAGAAGTGCTCCCAGTGGCTGAGGCTCGGGGGCCAGCCCTGGATGGATGCAGCCTGTCCCTTGAGGAAGGCTGTTGATGCCCTGGGAGGAGGATGTGGTGGGGGTTCCCATGGCAGGGACCTGGGGAATGTGGGGTCCCAGGAGGAGGAGAGGCCAGGGTGGGCAGGATGCAGGCGTGACTCGGCCTGGCAGCTGCCTTGGTTTACCCCATCGTTGGGGTGGTTCCTCCTGCAGGAGTCCCTTTGGCGTCTCTCTGTAGCAGAGCCTGGGCTGGGATGTGGGTCCTGGTGTGACAGAGACATTTCAGGTTCATCAGATATCCACATGCTCCCCTCCTCTCCTCCATTTTTCCAGCCTCCCCTGCACCTAATTTGGAGTTGTGTGGCTGGGAAGTGACACGTGTCACCTCTTGGCCGAGGCAGTGGAGAGCCGGTGTGTCCCTTCCCTCTCTCTCTTTCCCTGCCACAGTGACCCTGGAAGCCACGTCTCCCGGTAGGTGCAGCTACAAATGGGGCAGGGCCCGCCAGCCTGCACTGGGCTGTGATGTGTGCAGCTGCTGACGCGGTGGATTCCTTGTCGCTGCAGCGTAGCATGTCCTGTTCTGACTGATACCCCCGGCTCCTGCCCGTGCAGCCAACGAATGTTTATTGGGCATCTACTATCTGTCGGGCAAGGGGTAACGCTGTGAGTAAGGCAAGACACCGTCCCTGTGGCCACGGCCTTGCATTCTGGTGGGGAGATGCAGACAGTATTCAAGGGAAAAACAAATGAGATGATTTCAGATAGTGATAAATGCAACAGAGGAAGTAAAATTGCTGCTGAGTGGAGGAGGGAGAAGGATTGGGGAAGGTGGGCCACTTTATACAAGGGTCAGGGAGGCTGTGCACAGGAAGTAACATTGGAGCTGAGCCTCGAATGATAACGGATGACTGTGGGAAGAGATGGGGTAGAGTATTCTAAGGGGACAAGTGGTGCAAAGGCCCTGAGGCAGGAAGGAGGTTGGCACATGTGAAGAAGTGCAAAAGGGCTAGTGTGGGATCCTGGGGCACAGGCTGGAGGGGAAGTGGGAGGCGAGCAAGGCCAGGTGGCAGATGTGGAGAGGGACTTGGATGTGACCCTAATGGCAGCAGGAAATCCCTGGAGGTACAGCTTCCTTCCTACACTAATGGGCAAGACATT